TGAGATCATCTACAAGAAAAAAACCCAAGCATAGTAGTTGCTTACTATTGGGTGCTGCCAGAATCATTCTTCAAAAAAACATTAGGAAGTTTCTAAAACTTTTCTAAAGATGTGTGCTGGTAAAAAGAGGTGGTATATGGGATTCTAAGAAAGTAAAAGTGATTTATTCTAGTGAAAATAAAATATGATTTGAGCTTAGAAACAGTGAGAGAAAAATTCGGAAATCCCTACAAACTACTCTTTGTTTTGACAGTTTATTTATTGCCTTCCCTAATATATAGAATTTTGCTTCATCATTGCTGTCAAATTTTTAATAAATAAAGGTAAGCAATATTTGTTAAGATAAACCAAGTGTGTCTTGACTTTAAAACACGTACTTGAATGTTTTCATGTCAGTCGTGAAGTGGGTCTCATTATTAATTATCTTGGAAGCCCTAGGCAAGATTTGAAATTTGCTCTCATGTGATGACATTTTAAAATGAATTTAAAAAATGAGTTAATTTTAACCAGTTAAGTAAATGAACCTGTTTTTAAAAATATTTACATAACTTATTGCTAATTCATTTCCATGTTGATAATTTTCCTTAAAGTGTAACCATCCACAAATACTCTTCAAATTTCCAATATTCGTGTGGATATTTATGTTCCTTTCTTTTTTATTCCTTTAAACTAGAAGCTAGGGTTTGTTTTGGAAAGTTGATTTCTGCTGTGTCTCCAGAGTTCCAGAAGATCCAAAACGGCTACCTGTTGGCATCTAGGCCCCATGACTTGTTCAAATGGCTGCTTACCAAGCCTATTGTTTTTGTTTGTTTGTTTGTTTGTTTTGTTTTGCATTTTAGTATTCTATAAGTGAACAAGGCTGGTTAGAAGCCAGATTGAGAAATTACTTATTTGTGTAGTTTTCTTTCTGTCTCTTTATACCACACTACTGTTAGGAATCTAGATAATCATGCTTTCTCCCTTCTTAAAACTTGCTCTTCACAAAAACCCTGAAAAAATATACTCTCACAGAAGTATAAATACATAATAAAATGATAGTGACTTCCCTTAGGGTCAAAATCTCTTTGATTTCAAGACCCAGGATTGAAGTTCTAAATGTGGAATTCCAGGGATTGACAAGCACAATATAGTAGGTTTAGGGCAAGAAGTGTTCCTGGCACCAACATATAGGTAAATGTGTGGTCTGCTGGTTATCCTAGCTCTAGCTCGGAGCTTCTTGCATTTTTTTCATTCTTCTGAGTGGGTCTTCCTCTTTTTCCTAGTTTAGTTCTCATTTCTATTTTTGAAAGGACTTACCATGGTGAATCAGAGTCTTTAAGCCTCTCCATTAATATTTCTTCCAGTAGGAATGTTTAATGCTAAAGGCCTTTTGTTTGTAGTACAAGGAATTAAACCAAGGAATCTGGGTAGTCTAATAATAGCATCATCTAGGCAAATCATTTGGAAGTTAATTTTTCTATCATAAGTAGAGAGTTGCTTGAATTGTTGTTTTAATTGTTTCATTTTTCCAATTTATTTTTGTTTCTGCAGATAGCGTGAAACTCATTTTGTTGCATAGGCCAACCAACTCCGAATGGTCTCACTTGAGAGGCACATCAGTCAAATTTGTCTCTCACCAGGGTGGGATTGGTTCATCTCTACCTGCCATTGTGTACTCTCTTCGAAGTGGTGGGCTTTGTGGAGGAGAATGGACTTGTCAATTACATGGGTCCTACTTTTTAGAAAGGACTCCTCTAATGTGAACATCCATACAAGCTCTCGGGGCTATTTATCTTAATTTTGGGAATGGCAAGTCTTTAAGTGAGTGGATCCATAAAATTATGGTGGAGCCATAATTTCTCAAGGGATCACTAAAAGACTGCCCCACTTCCCATACTGACCACGGGCTGGACATGTTACATATCACACAGTACCACAGGCCTTCAAAGAACCTTTTGCATTTCTCTGGCTTCAGATCTGGATCTGGGGGCCTTAATCTTAATATCTAGGCTGAAGTACATAGTCTCTAAAAGTAAATAATCAGTTGTTAATTTTGAGGCCTATGTTTATAATGTATTTTTGAGGTCTTCTTTTCCCAATTCTTTAACAGCTGTTTCTGGTAATTAGTACCTCCACCTTAGGGCTATATATCAATATAATTTAGTCTTCCTTGTACTCTTGCCTCTAAGCATAACCTTCTCTGAACCAAACTATTTTGGCCATGTAAAAATCAGTTTAAAATGAACATGAATTTAAGGAAGTTTCTTTATCTTTGGTTATTACTAATCTTGATTCATGAAAAGAACAATTGACTTTGAAAGATCTGATTTCTTAGAATCAGTCATGTTCTTTATAAATTTAATGAAAGGTTCTTAAATTTGTTGTGAATGACAATTTTCTCCTTTACTAGAGGAAAAACTAAGTTATGACCTGGACTTTAGTTACAACTAAAGATTGAGGTATGGAGTGTGGTTCTTATTTCCTTTACTTATTTTAGCAGGTTCTTTTCTAATCCTGAGGGGCATAATAAGGCCTTAGACTTATTATATCATGCCTCAAAAAGGTAGATTGATCATGCTTAAAGTTTTAGATACACAAAATAAAATTTTGACTGAAGCAGTGTGAATAAGCAAAATGAATAAAAGGTAAACCATTTACACATAATTCAATATTCTCTCGTCCCCCTAGGAATTGCAAATCACATACATTGTTTTTATAGTTCAGATGAGCTTCTTTATGAATCAAATGAGATGGCTAGAAAAAAATGTCTGACCCTTTCAGAAAGTTCTATGATTCTAACATATTAGAAATTCCTTACCCTTACACATTCCTTGTATATAAAACTAGTAAAAATAAGAAATATATTATAGTGCTATTTTTGCTGTACTCTCCATTGTTTAACTCAGCAGGTGATTTTGAATAAGGCTGCAAGTCATTTTCTGAGATTTCTTTTTCCCAATAGGAAAATTCGTATACTCGTTTGCAGCTCATTTCCCTTACCTGGTAATTTTCTTTCTGTTAAGCCCTACCTTAACAGTGTGAATATACTTGATCATATATGAATGTTTGAGTGAGTGTATAAAAGAAGTGGTAAGAGACATGGTCTATCTTCAAGTAGCTTACCCTATAGTTTTATGCAGAGATAGTATTAAAAATATGTAACAATTAGTAAAGCATAGGCACTAAACAATTAGAATGGAGGCCTTTGATAAGAAATGGATCCTGCAAGTTTCCTTCTTAGCCAGGCATTAACCTTTTAAGTTCCTGAAATGTGGGTGGTCTGGGGAATCCTGAGAGAAAGGGCTGGTGCAAGGGCAGGAATCATGGGGGAGTTCCGTTCAGAGCTGCAGATGTTGACTAACTTGCATTGAAATATTTCAACACCTGATCAATGAGTTCGGCTGTACCTGTACCAGTGGAATGTTAGCCTTGTGCATACATAACTAAAAGGCAGTGTGGGCACCCTAAAATATGACAACTATAAATACTACATCTTATTGATATTTAGAAGATCCTGCATATATTTTAAGGATGCTGATAATATGTTTGATAAAATTATAAGCCTTAAAATATCAGGGTAATTTGGAAGCTTTTTGTGTTTTGGACCCAAAAGATGTACTATATTGGTATGTAGGATGCATACTATATTGATTTTATGACATCTAATGACTCTAGTTCTGATTTTATTAAATCCAAGGACTTTACAATAAATTAAAGCAGTTTCCTTAATTTATCTGTGAATCTTAAGACCGTGCTCATTGTCTCCCAGTTAGTGACAATGGTTAGACTTGAAACTACGATTATGACTTGATCTCATTCCTCTACACCTCAGGCCTTCTTTTGCCTAATAGCAGCTGTGTAAACCGCCAAGAATGAGGCTTTTCCATAGATATAACAAGCTTAGTATCCTGGCAGTCAGTAGGCTTTTATAAACACCTAAAAGATGTTCTTTGTAGAGATACAAAACAGAAACAACACAACCTTCCTTCAGGACGGTAAATATGCAGAATAGCAAGAATATGTAGCTATACTAACTGGGTTTGATCTCAACTCTCCTCCCTACCTGTTCTGTGATCTTAGGCAAGTTACTTAACTTCTTGTGCCACAGTTTCCTGATAGGATAATACCCACCTTACTGTGTTATGAGGATGAAATGAACATATATATAAAGCTCTTAATAAGTACCTGACGCATAGCAAATCTTGCTATTACTATTTATCATGGTTTTATGCACTCTGCAAGGTACCCCCAGAACTCTATTAGAAATTCTGGCTGAATACAGGAACAGGCACGCCAGACAATATGGATAAGCCTCACCGTGGAGATTGAAATAAGTGACAGGAAGCAGAGTAATGAGCAAAGGGAAGGTGTCCAGAGCCATCTTTTAAGAAAGTACGGGTTGTGAATTGCTTAAGAGGGTAGGAGGCAATTCAGGTTTCAGGTATGGTGTGAGCAAAGGAATGGGAGCAAGAATGAGCACGACGTAGGCAGGAGTCCATGGAATTTCTTGGCTGGATCCGGAGTTTTTGCCGTTTGTTGGGTGTTAAGAAATAACGAGTTAAGCAGTAGAAGGTGGTGGAAAGCCTTGGAAAGTTAGCGAAAGCCTCAAGAATTATCCAAGGGCGTGCAATGCTCAATGGACTCAACTTTTTCTTTTAGGTTTGGAAGGCCCGCAGGAAGTGCACTTTAGAATAAATTGTGGGGGCGGCGGGAGTGGAGAGAGAACTATGCAAAAGACCTCGCACTTAGCACTAAACAAATGTTCCTTTTTGCCCTAAGACTGAAAGCTTACTTTAACAAAGGAGAGGAGTTAAATTAACGTAGATGTTTAACTCCTGTACAGATAAACATCCTAATTTATCAATCTGAAACCTTTTGGTTAAAGCGTTGTGCTTAGCGCGCTCATTACTCATCCGCCTCCCCAGGCCGCAGCAACCGACGACCAAAGCCGGGAGAAAAGGAGTGGTAAAGAGCGCTCCACGCATGCGTTAGAAGCCGCCCCAACTCCCCCACGGCGTTCTTTCTTGGAACAAAACTAGCGTGGAGCCACGGGGCTCCGCAATTTGCGTACACTCGAATTAACTCTTGCTCCGACTGTCCGCGTGGAATCCGCGAGTGGTGCGGTTCCCCTACGCAAGTTGCGTTACCCTAGTGAATGGCTGGGTGGTGCGTGTACGCCTAGAACGTAGCACCCATTAGGCGGACCGGGTGCGGCTGCGCAGGGACCTGAGTGGGCCTTGTACGCCGCTAGCGTAGTGTGGTGTCTGACGTGCGGGCTTCCGCGACGCAGTTAGCGCAGCCAGCTTTGGTGAATACACGATTTGGTGCAGCCGGGGTTTGGTACCGAGCGGAGAGGAGATGCACACGGCACTCGAGTGTGAGGTAACTATAAAACCCCGATTTGTTTACATTCCCTCCCCCAGAACCGGCCCCAAGCGCTGCGGATACTGCGAGTCCCGGGACGGCGGCGGCGGGGGTTGGGGGGTTGCGATTAGAAAGGGAGACTGGAACCTGGGAGTCGTGGCTGCGTCCCTCGGGGATCCTGGCGCTGGGGTTCCCGCAGCTGCTGCAGTCCGTGGCAGCCGCGAAGCCGGAGCAAAGCGCGTGGGGCTGCGCGTGGGGCGCGGCGGCTCCTCGTGTGCGCTCTCGGCTGCCGCGGGTTTGGCGGCCGGGCAGCCTCCGCCCCGCGTGCAGCACCGGGCTCCGATTTAGTCTCTTATGCAGTCCGGGGAGCCGCGCGTGGAGAGAGTGACCGACGGGCGGGCGGCGGCGGTTAGGGGGCTGCGCGCGGGCGGCCATGGGGGCTGAGGGTGGGAGGATGTGCAGTCTGGTCTTGGAGGGGTCAGGCTGGGGTGGGGTCGAACGCCCCGGGTTGTTCGCGGGCCCTTCCCTTGGGTCTGTTATGGGGTCGGCGAGGAGACCCAGGGATGGAGCCTGGGCGCCGCAGTTCCGGCACCCGGAGGCTAACGGACGGTGGTGCCGGTGCTGGGACCGCGCGGGAGGCCGCGTGGGAGACCTCGTGGGGGGTTTTCTTCTGACCAACCGAAAAGCCGAGGTGGGGCGCAAGGGAGTTCACATTGAAGCCTGCTGGGGTCCCTGGAGCTGAGGGTTCCGTGGGGCTGGGTCAGTGTTAGAGACCGGGTGGGCAGGGAGGTGGCGCCGCAGCCCGGGCTTTGTTCCTGAAGGCCCTGGGGCGGAGAGCGGTGTGGGGCCCGGCTGGGAGAGTGTGTCGGGGAGCTCTTGCCGCTCCCCTCACCGGGTAGCGGGATCTGCTCAACCCCTTATGCTTCTCCCTTTGGACCCCTGAGTGCCCCAGCTAAGAAAGGGGCCTTCGGAGGGCGCGGGGAACAAGTGACGTTGAAGGTCTTCCTGTGGCTTCTGTAAAGAAATGTTCACGTGGGGAGCCTGTCCACATGGCCTGTCCTTATGAGCTGGGCACGAGGAAGAAATATCAGCAGAATCCTAAGTCTTCAGTTGGAAGGGTCGTTCACTCAAGTCCCTGTTTTAAGTAATAAAGAGTGACATTAAAGCACGTAATTTTTTAAAAAGATTGTAGGTTTTGCTGTCTTTTTTTTTTTTTAACTTTCATTTAATGTCTTACGCTATTAAGTACTCCAGTTTCACCTTAACTGAGTCATTCTTGATGGAGCAAAACTCGTGACAGGTTTACATTTCATTTGTATGCTTATCTAAATTCTATATAGTTAAGAACAAGGCAAGATATTGGAAAAAGTGGCAAATTTTGAATGTAGTTAATTTTTGTAATGCAATTGAAAGCCTTAAGACTCGTGTACTGTTTTATATTATTGGGACTTCCTATTCTACAAATTTCGAATATCTTATGAGTCTGTCACTTGTTCAAGATCTTGGGAGTCCATACCAGACAACTCACATCCCTACCTGGCTAAATTCCGGTAGAGGGAGAGAGATACATGGTATCAGTGATAGTGGTATGAAGAAAATAAAATAGTGTTGTACTGGAGAGACAAACTTGTGTGACGAACCTCAGAATAATGTCTTTAAATGTATGAAATCAATAGAATTGCAACAGAAACCAATTTTGAAATATAAATATCAGTATTATTTATGAAGAAGTCATCCATGTTTTAGTAAATCATTAAATATCAAGAGTTGTGGCAGGCCTGATGACTAGTAAGTGATCTTTAAAGGATTTAGTTTGATTTATAGTGATAAAGTTTCAGGTAATGCATGTCACTGTGATTTTTGCCTATATTCATAACAAGGAAAAACTGAATTTCAAAGATTAAAAGTAAGATGTCTTCCCTATCAAAATTCACAAACCTGAATTTTATAGACAGACCGCCGGATAAGAACTCTTGTTCTAAAATGACTTGGTACTACTTTAAAAGAAGTGGTTAGGGAAGACCTCTTTTGGGGTGACATCAATAATATATTGCATGAGGATAGTCTGTACTTGTTCTTTTAACAATTTATATTCCTCTATTAGCTTAAAAGCTAATACAGTTCTTCCTCCTTTTTAGTACCTGATTTGAAGTACTTTTAGGAGGCCTCAAGTTTAGTATGCAGAGTACTACTGTAGGGGGACTTTTTTATTTAAGCTGATTTTTGGAGAATATGGGATATAGGTATTATAGCTAGGGAAATTATCCAATGGGAATGATCATTTGCTTTTAATTAAAGAATTTATCTTGTTATTCTATTACCCCTCCCCCACCAATCCCCAGTATCGATAAGAATCAAGAACTTTGGAGTTCAAAACCGTGACCCAGTATTGACTAGTTTGGTTACTTTTGAGCAAGTTGTTTTACCTTAATCTTTTATCTGTGAACTTGAAGTACTAAAAAAACCTATCTCATTGTTTACTGTGACCATTAAATGACATAATAAACCAAAGGGCTACAGATACTTAATTTCTTACCTTTTTTTATGTATAAAAGTTTCAGTTATTTAGCAGTAGAAGGACTACTTTCTGCCTTGTCTTTTCCTCCAGTTCTTGATTACCCCCAGAATGTGTTTTAGTGGTCTCTACTGGGCCTTTGTTGGGGACACCGTTATCCTGCTATTGTTACTCATGTAATAACACATCGAATTTTTTGTGCTTCTCTTGCTTTTCTAATTTATAATTTCATGCATACATCTTGTTTTCCCCTCCAGACTAAATTTCTTGAGGAAGATATACTCCATAACTTTTTGTCACATGATGCTCATGACACATTATTCAATAAATGTGCGAATCTTGTCAGGCTCTTTAATGAAGTTTAAAATGTTTATTGAGTGAAGCACAACTTCAATTTAGCATTAACCCAAAGAAGTAATTTGAGTAAAAATGTCAGCCCTTGTGTATGTAGTGCCTACCGTAAGAATGAATGGAAATGCCATGTGCTTCCTTTGTTTTATATCAAAAGAACATTATCATTTGTGCATTTTAAACCGATAAAAGATGCAAAAATACACAGAAAGGGGGAAAAAGTGTAGGCAATTAAAAGGGAAAGCTGATTTTTTTCTTTGTAACAAGTTTTATAACCCTATTAAGTCATCTTTTATTATAAGTGAAATTCTCAAAAATATATTAGCTTTTTTTAAGTTTACAGGTTAGAAGAGTGCCCAGTCTGTCCCAACAGCTTGATGCTGCCCCCTAGTGTTTGGTTCCCATTGACGTTTTCTTGAGCTTAGATTCACCACTTTTACCTTCACCTTTTCCTAAAAACAAGATCTATTTAAATTACAATTAGATTCCTTAGTGCTGTATATCTAGCCTATCCTAGGATTTCCTCCAGCTGGTTAGTATTGCTTTTAAGATGGTCATCGCCATTTTGAATTTGTTAACTTTGATTGCTTCCATAGTTATTTTTAATTGGCTGATTGCTTTTAGCTCCCAGTTTTTCAAATTTGATCTTGGCTTTGTCTTGAAAAGAGTGATATAAAAATGTGCTTTCTGGCTCAGTCTAGTCCCATACAACTTTGTATTGCCTTGACTGTACTGAAAATAAAATTTGAAAATGCTAAAATCACATGGTGAGCTTTTTTTTTTTAATTCAAGTTTATTTTTAACTAGTTTATTTTTACTAGAATGAGCTTTGAAAAATAGCCTCTAGGACCTTTAATCGCAAGATTTTCTATAGTCATTTATGTAAACTAAGGTTTCAAATTATACCAGTTATTGATATTCTAGACTACTTTTTTCATTGTTTTCATAAATTCTGTGAGTCACATGACTTAGGTTTTTCCAAAATAAGCACATATATTCTCAATAAAAATTTACCACAATCAGAATATTCGAAAGTGTGTTCAGTAAGTATGAAGACAATTTACAACTGAAATTGTAAAGTTTCAAACAATAGCATTGAAATTATTTCCAGCTGCTTAAGGGATACAATTTATTGTTATATCACATAAATATAGTGTCAAATTATATTTTTCTAATCAGAACATAAAGGTCTTTTTTTTTTTGGTTGGCAGATGTAAGGATTGGATATTTAAATTTTTAATATTAGATTTCTCATGTTAAAAGATGCTATTAGAATGGGGCGGTAGTGGTAGTGTTCAGAGGTGTAAGTATAAGGATAAAGTCTAAAATCTTACTCATTGTTTAAATTATATTCAGTAAGTGGTAGATGATTTTATAATTACCTAATTTTATAATTACTCATTATATTGATATTTTACTGCTGAAGGGGAGGGCAGTATCAGATTATATTTGTCTTTGCATTAACATTTCTAACATATGTATACCCTTAATATGTACCCTATTTTGTGGGACCATCCATCCCGTTCAGGAAAAGAGGTTTTTGGGGATTAAAAAAGTGAGTCAGAATGTTGTAGGAAGTATCTTTATCCTATTAATATGGTAAGATTATGTACTTTCATAGGACCAGAAATATTATTAGAATTACTGTGGGCTATGTGTTATTTTTAATCCTCTCGTAATTAATACTTGTCAGTGATCACTTTAGTTTTTAGATTTTCATTCACATAGAAAGAAAATCTAAATAGCTTTCGATTGTAGTAACAAGATTACAAGATATACATTCCACTGTTCTATTACTTCAATGTCTGTAAATACAAAGAGACCATTTCATATGTGCCCTCACACTTCTAAATTTTTTCTCAATTCACTTTATACTATGAATTCTTGAGTTTTAAGATAGTGGTTTCCCCAACAGTTGTCTAATGAATTGATAATTTTTTTAAAAATGTAGATTAAGGCAGGGGTTAGCTAGCTGTGTCCCATAGGCCAAATCAGCCTGCTTTTGTAAATATTACTGGAACAGAGCCTCATACGTTTATGTATTATGTATGGCCTCCTTTGTGCCATAATGGCAGAATTGAGTGGTTGGCATAAAGAAAAACTATACTACCTACAAAACCTAAAATATTAACTATCTTGATTCTTTTACGTC